GCACGGCCGTGCAAGTAAGCAAGATGGCCGTGTGATTTCTGCCGAGGCCACACACGGGCAACCCATGAGATTCACACGGCCGTGCAAAGTGCAATTGTGGCCGTGTGATATTTGCCGAGGCCAAACACGGACAGACTGGAATTTCCACACGGCCGTGCACCCTGGCCGTGTGAGAAGCCTGAAGATCGAACTAAACCATACGCTGCGTTTTAAGCCGCACGGCCAAGTGGGTGAGTCACACGGCCGTGTGGCCTGCCCGTGCGAGTCGGGAAATTCTGGTTTTTGAGCCAATTCCGAGCCAAAAAGTGAAAGAATCGTATTTTCAGAGCAGAAACGGAGCCCTAGAGAGAGAAACTACGAAGAACACATCCTAGAGCTATCTTGGAGCTGGGTTTCATCGAATCGAGCTTGGAGATCGTCATAGGAGTGGAAATCATCATCCCGGAGCAGATTTTCCTCATCATTATGAGTATGACTACTCCGATTACTGTTTTCTCTTCTCTCTCTATGGAGTAGAACCCTTCTTTCACTTGGGTATGAAGAACCCTAGTTCCTTGTGTTAGGGATTTGATTGTAATGACTTGGGATGATATTACTGTTTGATTTTAAACGAATGGTGCATGTTTATTGAATTGATTGGAGTCTGATCAGCTTTTCTCAATTTCTGCTGCAACCTGAGATAGATAGAATCTGATTAGGTTGTTAGAGCCTCTTCATTCGATAGTAGGAGATTGGCTATACGAGAGTTAGCCAGTTTACTGCTTTGTACTGGAATTCAACTCCAGTAGTGGAGTTCTGTGTTCATAGCCTCAGCTTTCTATCCCGGTGAAGACTAGTCGTCTGCCGGGTAGTTAGACTGAGAGGGCTTGGTCAGCTTAAGAGATTTCAAGCTACTGTCGGATCTTCCGCAGTCTAATCAACAGTAAATCAACCCAGGGAATTACAATTGAACCTAACTAAGGGGCTAGGGGGACTCAATCCCGAGTGACTCTTTCCTGACTTTGAAAACCGAACAATTTACTGCTTTCTTACTGCTTTTGCTTTAAACAACAATCACTCGAATTAGTTTGCTAGATAATAGATAATCACGGAGTAAGCAGTAGATCTAGACCCCGGGTTGATAATATAACTTGCCTGTTACTGCATTCCCGGACTGCGATTACACTTGGTCGCAGTTTGGTGTTGTGTTTTGGCGTGTCACTTGCACCAGCCTTTGTTTTGTTTGTTTATGCTTGTTGTTTCCAAGTAAAATCTTTCTAGGCTTGTTATGTTTTCAGTTGATGTAATGTGAGTGAAATGACATTAAAATAAAATGAAAATGAGATCTGAAGCATCAAAGCTCAAATATTGTCCAAGCAACTTTGTTTTTACCGTTACCGTTACATTGATTTCTTAGTTCTAAAGTTAACATTCTGTATGTGCTTTTTCTACATGGTCGAGAAGGCCAACCTGCAGGAGAGAATGTCATGGCTATCTCAACCATTTGTTGTAATCAAACTGCATTGGCAACCGACATCCGTTGCCACAAAGATCTTGTGGTCCTTGGTTCTATCTAATCACGTCGTCATCGTTGTTGACAGCCCCCCCACCCCCCGCGCCGGCGTGAGCAAGGTCAAGTTTGCAGATCAAGGGTATGATGCGACGGGCTGAGGAGCGATGGCGTCGTTGTAAGTGAGGATGATATTGGAGGTCTTGATCTGGTTGTGGAAAGGAGGGTTTTGAATCCGGTCATGTGGTGTATTTAATTCAGGCCGCGAGCCACTCCCACGGTGATATCCATCCTGGATTGCCACGTCGAGACATACAAGCTATAGAGATTAGGACGATTAGTAGTGTCCGTCAAACAATCAGACAAGGTGGGTCCGTTGATGAACGGGTACATGAGGTTGACGCACGGCTCCTTCTCGCACATTGAAGCTTCGATGAGTTGGACGACGTTGGAGTGATGAATTGCACCGATTATAGATAGATGTTTTTCAGCATCTCTGGGTTGGTGGTCGTAGGGTACGCCCGACGGAAGGCGTGGCGTCTTTGCCATGGAAGGTGCAGCGGTAGGAATGTTGTCGAGGGTTTTGGGCTGAATGTGGGGTGGTTGAGCACGAAGAAGATGAAGATGTGGTGAAGAAAAAGGTGGGACGTCCGAGGAGGAAGAAGTCTTTGATCTTTCGTAGTCGGATGGTGTGCCAAAGGAGACTCTGTAGTTCCACACTAGCGAGGGAGGATCTAGAGACCAAGGGGGAGTGCTTAGTCACTTGGCTATGTCCCTCCTAGCCCTTGGATCTAGATGGATTGATCAAATGGTAAAAGTTAGGGAAGGGATAATTAAATAGTGGGAGAGGCAATTATGTGATTATAAAAAAATGCATTTAATTTTATTTGTTTTTTTTCTCCAATCTTCCTTTTTTGCACTGCCCGCGTCGGCCATGGAAGATAGACAAAAGTAGCGGCGGGGAAAGAAAGACGGCGACGGTGGAAGAGAGGGGGGCGGCGACAATGGAGAGAGAGAACGGAGACCTCGATGGCCGCGATGGAGAGAGGGAAAGGAGATCGCGACGGAGGCGGCAGTGTTGGAGAGAGAGAGAGCAGATCTGGCGTTGTCGTCGAGAAATCAGAGGACAAAGAGAGACGATGGTGGAGGACATAGAGGCCGTGGCAGAGAGAGAGCGTCGACAACGGTGGAGGAGAGAGAGGCAGCGCGACGACGGAGAGAGAGAGAGAGAGTAGGCGGCGGCAACGACGGTGGAGAGGGAGTCGACGACGACGAATCTCTGTATTTTGTCGTCTGAGGGAAGAACAATGATTTGTAATGATAGTGTTGTCGGTTTGTATTATTAGTATTTTTGTACATGATGTCAGTATAATTTGTATAGTTTGTATGTTTTGTAATATTAATTTGTATACTTTATATGTATTGATTTGTGATGCAAGTCATGTTGCTTTGTATTGTTAGTACTAATATTGTGTACTCTTCGTATGTTTTGGGTACTTTGTCACTATGTTTTCATTACAAGTTATGATGTTTACAAATCAACCCTATAAATATTATAAAGCAGATTGATAATCATTATAAACTATAATGTCAACCATTACAAACCAGACAAACAAACATTACAAACACGGTTGACAAAAATGACAAACATGGTGAACAAAAATAACAAAGCTAACAAACATTACAAAAGAAATCGACAAACATTACGAAAGTAACAAACCTTATAAACATTAAAGAAGAAACCGACAAACATTACAAAACATACTAACATTACAAAATAACACTACTTACAATACAAATCGGTAAAATTGTATTACAAATCAATGAAAACAAGGTATACAAATCATAACATAAAAGTACACAAACTAGAGCAACAAATTTTATAAATCAAAATATATACAAATTTGTCAGGTAAACATTACAAACACAATATACAAAAATAACAAAGTAGAATGATAAACGATACAAACCGAAGTGATATAAACGTTACAAACTGGACTCATAAACATTACAAAATAGGTCGACAAACATCACAAATTCAGCACTGTCGTCAGAAAATTCGTCTCTGACGGCTCTGCTCGCCGGACTCCTCCACCGTTGCCGAAAAATCCACCAAAAATCTCTCTCTCTCTCTCTCTCTCTCTATATATATATATATATATATATATATATATATATATATATATATATATATATATATATATATATATATATATATATATATATATATATCGTACGTGACCTGAAATGGGGAAATAATTGCAAATGCTCCAAGAATAGAAAAGGCAAAGCTAGCGAGCGCCGGAAAGCGACCAACAGAAAAGTCTGGCCGGAAGCGCCGGTAAATTGTCTGGCCGGAAGGGGACGGTCGGACGTTGACGGAACGCAGTTGGAGGTTTTTTATTTATTATATAATAATTAAAAATTATAAAATTATCTTGTAATTACTACATTGCCCTTTGTAAAATTAGATTAATTGAAATCATTAGATTTTAATGAGGTTGAAGGGGTGAGATCGATTTAGGCAAGTGACTAAAGAACCCCCCCTTAGTCACCAGATCTTAATCCCCACACTAGCTACTCATTTCTAACTTCTAAGTCAAGTCAAGTGTGTCCTATTAAGTAAGTTGCCTTCCGCTAAGGAGAGTTAAATGAGCAATTAGCAATGTTGTCAGAACCAAACCGAAGCATGACTCGGTAACATTGACTGCTCGCATTTTAAGGGTTCAACCGGCATTAGACCGTTTAAAAACCGTTAGAGAACCGGTGCCTAATAAATATCATCAATATAAATAGTGAATACTTCTTAATCATAGTTGTCTCTTTCCATCTAAATTTTGAAATAGAAATTATGATTCAGCTTGAGAGCCCGACGTTTTTGGGTTTTTTTAAACCATTATTTTTTGAAATTTTTTCTAATTAAACTTAACCAGCGAATGGCAAAAACGGATGAACGGCTCGATCAGCTCTAGCGGTTAACCGCCTAGGCAACTCGCCAACCGCTACATAAAATCGAAGTGGTTTTTAGACTGATCCGAGCCAGTTTGGCGACCTGGTAGTGATTTTACCGGTCGGGCCGAGCAGCTCGGCTCAATTTTAATAACATTGGCAATTAGACTAAGGTAAAGAAACAAATACGGTGCCCACATTGACAAGACAAAATCAACCAGGAGGGAAGGACTGAATATGGAAAACAAAGCAAGCATACACACGGTTTTCCTATTAACTATCACTCTCCTGTTTGCGTATTTGTGTAGGCCAACAAGCAACAACAACAGCAAAGTCTCACCATCATCACTAGAGAGATGACGGCTTAATCTGATGCCACAACATCATTCTAATGTATTCTACAGGGAAGGTTCTTCCTACGTCTCCCTTACGGAACTCAGCCAAAGTGACATGCCTCACACATGAAGTTTCGGAGAAGAAATACCTTGAATGGGAAAGCTCAAGGACCAATGTGAAGAGGAGACTGGAGAATCCAGAAAGGTACTTAAACACACACAGGTTCAGAGAAGATGCGAAATGGGCACCCACGCATTTGCACTTTAGATGCAGCTTCCTGAGAAAGGATCGATGTTCCAGCATGCATGCATGCATATCAGGGGCTCATATTCTCTATGACATTTCCATAGACAATGAAAACAAAAAAGCATTTTGCATTCCGTACCATATCTTTCACCAGTGAAACAATTTTGACAGCTTTCTGATATTACAGGAACCAAACATCAACCAGCATAATACCATGACGATGTATTCATATGGGCTTATGTCAACTGTGTCTTTTAAGAGCTAACCAAATGCCCTATGCAACACACAAGACAAGTTCCAATGCACTTATTGATGGGAATTGGACCGCAACACTCTGGATTTCCAAATTTACCAGAATCTGGAATCTTCAGATTATTACTCTTTCTTTGCTGGTTCCCAGGACTGGTACCTAGTCCAGTTTTTCTGCCCTGGGTTGAGTGCATGTCCTTTAGAGTGGTAAATCTGATCTTCACCTTCTCCAGAGAGATTCTCCCTGTGAGCCACGCCATATCTCTTTGGCCTCAACATCAAAAGCTGGAAGAACAAGAAATACTTATTACAAGCAAAAATCAAACCAGCTATTCCTTATACTTAGATAAGATGACCGATTCGTACCTCATCTCCAGTGTGATCAGTTATAAAATGAAGCCAACCATGCCATTCTGGTGGCACCTGAGAAGCATTATATCGACCTTTCTCTGCATATTCAACCCAACGGTGCCTCCCTACAAAATTACACCATCATTTAAGTTGTGAGAAATTCACATGAGGCACAAATATGAGCAGTTCTAAGACTTGCACAATGACAATATTCAGAATTCCTGAGCAATAGCTTATGCAGATAGATAAGGAACAATAAGTACAGACCATATTGGGTATCTCCAAGCTTCTCATAGTACTTGTTGCCGAATTTGTCGACCCCAACCACTGTTGCCCCTATATTATGGATTTTGGTTTGCCTAACAACAAATTTCCAGTATAGACAGGCATATGAGTTTGCATATCAACAGAAGTACATGTGCTGAGAAATAAGGGGTCAATCAACCCACAACATGACCTTGTACATAGAGAAACATAACAAAATTCAAGGGGGCAAAATTTAACTTACAGAAGGTTCCCATCCAAAATACACTTCCTGAAACGTATACAATAATAGCATCGTGAGTAAGAGTGCAAACAAGCAAGTTGAATAAGCATGTACCTTAAACAATCATTGAATACAGGTGTCAAGAAATGAAATCCAAATATCCTGGGAAGAAAAAAGAAAGATATGGGAGTGGAGTGAGACATACAAGTAGCCTTCTCCCCTCAGCTCGCGCAAGAAGCCACCAACGCCTTTCTCTTTGATAGCATTCACCACACCCTTCACCACTGAAGCCATTTCCAATACTGACCTCCTCCTTTTATGTGTATCTCTCTAGTCTTCACTTCCTGAGCTCTCTTTACAATCTCTGTACCCAGCAACATAAAACAAACAAGTAGAAATCATCATTACTCAAATCCGAATCAACTCATTGATTGATCAAGTGGGAACAAAACAATCTCAACCAAATGCCCAAAGGGACTGCTATGTTAATGCAGTCAAATCAATCTAAATGCTCCATCCAACGTGAACAAGAATTTTTCACGCTTCAATCTTCGCTCAGCTCTTACCTGTCCTCAAATGTTAAATCGATTGAACCCCACATAAGATATCACAGAAAAACAGATAACCGACCACCAAAAGACATGCTGTACCCAGAATTGGCATTAATCGATTCTTGTGTGTATAACAGCCACAGCTACAACCGAGCAGCACTTGCACCCTTCCAGTTCCAGAACAATCTCAGCCCTAACGAATTTTCTAAGTAGGTTATAAGTCCAAACCCCACACCGCCTCACCTCGGTATCATTAGGCACAGACTCACAGCGCTATATCTTCCAAACACGAAAAGGTATTGACTAGCTCCCGAACCAAAAATGAGAGCTAGAAAATCCCAATTTCCCATCTCTCAAAGAAAGAAACACCTCTCGCCTCCGCGCAAACATGAATCAGAACATGACTTATTGAAAGGCCATCTCGCCACCTCTGATCCAAAGTTTCAGCAGTGTAATTATGTTTAGGGATGGAGGAAACGTCGATTCTCCTTCATTGGTGGAGGCACAGAAATCAGATGGAAGGATCTTATATCCGACGATAAAACACAGAAGCGATCCGAGGAAATCAGCAGATTATGAAAGAGAAGTGAAATAAAAATAGTACCAGAAATTGCGCCCAGAAACCAATCGATCTACGGAAGGAGAAGATGAAGAATCGCCCGGGCCGAAAGACTCAGCTTGTACAGGTTACACTTTTTTTTTTTTTTTTTGAAAGGTTGTACAGGTTACACTTAACATGGAAGGATGGAATAGAACAGAGAACCAGGAGAGACGAGACAGTAGTACTGCAAATTAGCCGAGCCGAGCTCAAATTGGGGTAAAACTCGGCTCAGCTCAACGAGCCGAGTCGAGTCGAGTTCGAGCTAGATTATTTAATAAAATTTTGATTTTTTTTATTTGGGGATCGGGTCATTTCTATCATATATTGTCCGGGTAGTACCCCAGTGAGTTGATTCGACCGGTCTCCTAACATTATACAAAACCCTAGGTTGAATAGAGCACTACCCATCCATTAATTCGCCATTCTGGGTCATTCCCGAGGGAGTCCATCTCCAGAAGGTAGTGTATTTGAGTCGATCGAGCTAAGAGGATACCCAACATCAATCCAAAGATCGGACCTAGAACGATTCAACCCAATAGAGCTCCCCACCTTGTAAATAGCTAGGTTAGTAGGTAGTCTAGGTTAATTAGTTTAATTCTGTCAATCATTATCCTAGGTTGGCTAGATAACGAACCCTAAACCTGAAGTAGGGTAAGCCTAGATCCCCGTGGTACGATAAATTCTTATTGCTTGCTTGCCCTATGCTACACCCGGTCGGCGGTTATACTTGGCCGTCGATTGGGATGTTGTAGTTAGAACGAGTCAACGCTAGATCATGTTGTTTTTCATTCTTGCAAGATGATGGCATCGCGCAAAGACTGCGGGCGAAACATCCTAACCTCATCGGCAACCTCCAACTTCAGGCCTCCTAAATACGTGCCCACCAATGCCTGTTGCGTCCAGCTGACACAGCGATAGCCAGCTTCTCAAACTTCTTCTGGTAATCGCGCAGGGACCCAGTCTGACAAATCCACGATAGGGCTTCGTCGCAACTCTCTCCTTCAGTCGAACCGAACCTCGCCCACAACTCCCGCGAGAACAGCCCCCAGGTAATCGACTCTCCGGTGTCTTTATAGGTTCGCTTCAGCTATTGCCACCACTGGTTTGCCTCTCCCTCTAGATGCAACACAGATAATGACACCTTCTGATCCTCCGAAACCTCCTAATACTCGAAGAATTGCTTGACGCGAGAAAACAACGATCTAGGATCATCCCCCACAAACTTAGGAAACTCCATCCTTGCGAGCTTTGCCAGGAAACCTCCCCCGCCGCTGGGACTTTTCCCTCCCGTTGCGACATCAACGCCTTGACCCTAGCCACCAGGGTCTTCATCATCTCCATCACCTCCTTCATTCGCTCACGTACATCCTCTAGGTTGGGCGCATTAGCCTGCTATAGCACTTGCAACTCTTCCACCGCGACTTCCAGTGCTGAGCATCGTTCCGCCGTCGTACCCGTACCCATCTCGCACAGATCCTGAACGGATTCGGAACTAGACTCTGATCAATTGTTGTTACCCACAGTTCAAGGGTTTTGCTTGTAACTCACAAGCGAGAGAACGACGTTGGTGTCAATAAACCTTACCTTTATTATTCGATATAGGACTAATGCCAAAGTTACATATTCATAGACTTAGAAAAGCCTACTATGTAACCTAAACCTACCCGAATTCCTAGTCCTATTCTGCTACCCCATCTCAAACGCATAAGGAAAATTACAACGAAAAGGAAAAACATCCAAACCCAAAATCGAAAAACACTCAAAAGCCCAAACCGAAAATACTTTCATCAGTATTCAGGCGAAAAAATTAGGTTGGGCTAAGATATAAGGGGAAAGAGAAGGGTTCGAGAAGAGAGAGGGTGAAATGATTTTTTTGATGTTTTGCTGATTGAGTGTAAATTTGACTTATTATTCCAGGTGGGTTTGGCTCGGTTTGCAAGTTGAGTGGTTTTTCCTTCTATACAGGTCACGTTTGTTTTGGATACATTTAAATTCGAGTGACTTATCTTAATCTCGCGAGTATTCTAATACGAACATTCTAATTAAAATTGGTAAAATCAATGTTGTGGCTAGATAGGATGATGAACCGTTGTAGTGAGTTGTACACGTTAGTGGTTTAACTACTACTAATTCGTTTAAAAATTGTCAATACACGAATGTCTTATATTTTTATTAATACATTAAAAGGATAAATCATAGGGGTCGTTTGGATGAGGAATTCTAATGGATCAATCTGACACAATTGTCTCGTTTTGAGTCAATTGTGCCAGATTGATCCGTTTGGCAGCATAAAATTTGGATGAAGCAATTTGGGCTGGGGAATTCTGAATTGACTCATTTTGAGTCAATTACAATTGTCTGGGGTGGGGGCAGGTAATCTGAATTGACTCGTTTTGTAAAATGAAACAATTGGTAAAATTGTCTCGTTTTACAATAGTGTATTTCTTACTACTCTTCTTTCGGGGATAAATCGGGGAACATAAAAAGAAAGGGGACAAAATTTGAATTGAATCTCATAATTTCGCATTATACGATAGTGCTACTTTATTTTCTTCCTTTGTCAAAATCCACCACCTATAGCTTTTTCTCCTTCTCGAAACTCTACGTTCCTTCTGACCAGCTCCCAAATTCAGTCGACATGTGTACGCTAAAAAAAACCAGGAATCAAACCATACTCGGTTGTATCCTCGACGACATTAGCGACACTTTTCGGTATGGGGTCTATGGCGATTGGCGACTCCTCCTTCCATTCATCAACGCGGTTTACAAATCCCTCGTCGGGATTAGCCTCGCAGGTCGAACTCGATGGGGACTCAACCATCCAGATTAACGCAACTCCTGCAAGCAGAAGCTTCACCGTCCAGTATGTTCTTGGATTTATTATTGACTAGCTTAGACCCGACCCATTGGCTGAATACCCAAATATAGGTTGCTATTAAGATTAGGAGTGTGCAACAGTTCAGTCTGTTGTGGATCGGAGCCAATTTAGCATGAAAACGGTGGTTCAATAGTAAAAGAACTTTAACGATTAAGAGTCCAATCATCATTGCATTTTATTATGTTTGGTCCGATCCTAATATTCTCATTTTTCTTAAATATTCATAAAACTTGTGAGACTGGAACCGGACCACATTAGATTCGATATGATAAAGTACACAAATCCAATTCAAACATAGATTCATGACAAGTTTTTAGAGAACTATAAACTATTTATAGCCAAAAACTTTCGAACTTTTCAAATTATTAGCCAAACTTTTTTAAAAATACAAAATAATAGTCAAATGTTAACTTTAGTTAGCAATTTTGTTATAATATTGACTTGACAACATGATAATGATTTGGAAGAGATACATGGCGGATAACATTCAAAAAATTTAGGCTTAATACACTTGTATATCCAAAATTTTCACGGTTGTGCCAATAATATCCAAATTTCCCGGAATACCACTTATATCCATGTTTTAAAGTTGTTCTTCGACAAATCTATCCATTTTCCAATATATTTTTGGTTAAAACACTTGTATATCCAAAAATACCGTTAAACAATGTGAAGGAATTGGATATAAGTGGTATTTCGGGAAATTTGGATATAATTGGCACAACCGTGAAAGTTTTGGATATACAAGTATATTTAAACAAAAATTTAGTATTTTAACTAAAAAAAAGTTACAAAATTACTAACAGTAACAGACAAATGACTAATATGTTGATGCGTTATAGAATATTTGGCTAATATTATTCATTTCAAAAGGTTTAATTTGGAAAATTTGAAAGATTTGCTCAATAAATTGTATTTACCTTAATTTATTTGTTAAGATTTAGGGTATAGGACCATGTTCCAAAAATAGACTAATTCAAGTTAGATAATATTTTCTAACTAAGAAAATATTATATCACGAAATACACTAGCGCAACTCGAGGGGCAGAACTTCACCTTTTAGTATGTTCTTTGCATTCTGTCAAATTAGATTGTTCAAGCCGATTGATCGATTTGTTCAATTAACTATTCAAATCGATTATCAAAATTGTCATGTTCTAAGCAAGCTATCAAAACACACATTTGGATAAAGTGGTAGTCGATTGTAGGTTTTACCAATCGAATCGAGTCAACATGCAACAAATCTCTTTTCCCCCTCCTTCTGGGCACGGTAAAAAATAAGTATGACTTCGAGACGCCACAAGAAGTTAGACCACCCACAATCTGATGAGAAAAGGGTTTAAGGAGAAGATATTCACAAAGGATGAGAAAAAGGGGAAAGAATGACACAATTATTTAAGTAAAGTAACGAAATCAATACTAAAGTGACAAAAACAATTCAACCCATTTTTTTCTTCTTTCCCTCCATATCTACTGTAGATATTTCCTTCCCCAAACCCACCATTTTTTCCTGCAACCATTGCGAATGACAAGATTGTCAAACCGTTCAGTCTGTTGGTCCGGTTGAGCAAGTGGGTGGAGGGTTAATGAGTCAATCGCTTTAGTCCGGATATATGGTAAAAGTTATTACATTGTTCATATATTTATAAATTATATAAAATCTCATTTAACATAATAAGTAATAACATATAACATCACACTAAAATGACATGTCGTACTTGGATCCAACATATAGTGAAAATTTACACTCTTATATGACATTAATGTTCAAATGTTCTCTAAAGCGAGTTGACCCGATGAGTGTGTGTTCATTTTTGTTACCGAGTTAGGATCAAACCGGGTTGACTCGCGGATTGATCTTAACTTCTTAAGTGAAAATAAAGACCTTACAAAATTCAAGCACAGACAGGGAGAAATAACCGAATCAAAGGGTTAAAGACACATTTGGTCACTGAGATTACAAAATCGGGACATTTTTAGTCACTAGAAAAAATTAATATCAAATTTGGTCACTACAATTACTAAAACTGGACACATTTAGTCACTCACCGTTAGTTGCCGTCAAACTCCGTTAAAAGAGTCCGTTATGTGCTGACGCGGCTAACGTGAGCGCCTAGTCAGCGCCGTTTTGGGCCGGAAATGGTCAAACCCGACCCGCCACATCACTAAACCAGCCACGTATTAAACCCAACCCAATCTATTAACCAAACCCGACCCAGAATCTGTTGAGCAATGAAGAAACCTTCACGCAGCTGGGTGGCTCAGCGTTGGGCGTCGGTCATCACATCGTCTCCCTCACATCCACCACCTACGGCCTCCTCAACCTCGACCCACCTTCCTCCACCACCACCACCGCCGCTCCCGCTCCGCCGCCTCGCTTCACCTTGGGCTCCGTCTTCCCAGCTTCTCTAACCGACTCGCCCGCTCCCAACCCCGCCGGCGACCGATTCGGCCCCGATCCGCCCCAAGAAGTCATCAATTCCTGGGAACTAATGTCCGGCCTCGACCCCGTCGAAAGCTTCCGCTTCTCTCCCCTTCCTCCTCCCTCTCGAAAGGACCCAATTGGGGAAACCATTGCCGCTTTCTCTAAGCCCCCGCCGCCTCCACCGCAGCAGAAGGAATCCCCGATTTCGGGTTTGCTGGAGGGATTCGAGGAGCTCTGCCCACCCAACAGGGAGAACAGGGTGGTGATCTACACCACCAGCCTGAGAGGGATCCACAAGACGTTCGAGGCCTGCAGCGTCGTCCGGGCAGCAATCGAATTGTTCGGTGTTCAAATATTAACTAGAGGGACGTCTCCATGGATCGCGGATTCAAGGAGGAGCTGAAGGAACTGATGATGATCAGATCTGGTGACGGATGCAGGAAAGGGGAAGGGGAAGGTGAAGATTCCACCGCGGCCACCGCGACTGTGCTGCCAGTACAGTGGTGCCGGCAGGGGGCAGGGACTCGTCTCGTGGAGTACTTCTGGCGGCGGTGACGTGGACAGCAAACGGACGACAATGTCGGATTGGGTTAATGGATTGGGTTGGGTTTAATACGTGGTGGGTTTAGTGACGTGGCGGGTCGGGTTTGACCATTTCTTGGCCAAAACGACGCTGACTAGGCGCTCACGTTAACCACGTCAGCACATAACAGACTCTTTTAACGGAGTTGGACGGCAACTAACGGCGAGTGACTAAATGTGTCCAGTGTTAGTAATTGTAGTGACCAAATTTGATATTATCTTTTTCTAGTGACTAAATATGTCCCGATTTTGTAATCTCAGTGACCAAATATGTCTTTAACCCCGAATCAAAAACAGAATTCAAAACGCAACAAACAGTGAGAGAGTGGGGAAAGATAGAGAGGGAGCGAGCGGAAGCGCTATCATTTGCGATTTCCTTTCGGTTCTTCATCGCCTGCTTCTCTGATACTTTTGCCTTTCGAATTCAAATCCTGGGTTTGAATCTTTCAAAATTGGCAGCCATTTCCTCATCCGCCAGATCTTCCTCTCGGCCTGACTAGGGTTTTTGAGGATTCAATCTTCCCGCGGATCGGGGGTTCCCAGATCTGGTCGCCTGTTTGTTTCCCCCTTCCCCTACTAGATCTTCCCCAATCTCTGATCGTACCCGCGGAAACCGTGCATTTCAATTCTAAAGATTAAGACATGGACGCGATCGAGGAGCTCTCTCAGCTGTCCGACTCCATGCGGCAAGCGGCGGCGTTGCTCGCTGACGAGGACGTTGACGAGGCCGCCAGCACGTCCTCTAGACGCGCATCCACTTTCCTCAACGTTGTTGCCCTGGGAAATGTTGTGAGTCGTCCTCTTATTCTCCTCTCTTCGTATTAATTTCTGTCTCTGGAGCTAGGTGAAGAATTGACTGGACACGTTGGTCCGTTTGTTTCCTTGTTTATCTGAACTTGGTACCCGGATTCAGTTTGCTCTCAACTGCGCGACTGGGAGTTACCTCTTGGATTGTTTGAGATGTTTAGGGAGAGGCAGATCTTTGTATCTAACGAGCTAGCTTTTATTAATTAAACTTATGGTGAGATATCCGACTAGCTGCTGATGCTGCTTCTGCATTGTACTCTAAATTCTTGACCAGATTGTGTCAAATCCAGTCATGGCTTGGTTTTGCGTTAGAGTTTAGGAGCCATTTTGATTCAATTCTATCCACCTTCGTATTTTTATGCTGTGAAACAGTTCGATAGTAGATCCCATGCTAACTAACTGGCCTGAACTTCGGTTTCATTGCTGTCTTTGAATTTGTGTTTTCTTAGTTTACTTCTTACTCACAATGCTTTTTATTTTATTTATTTCTGTTTCTGTCATCTGTTAGGGTGCTGGTAAATCCGCTGTCTTGAACAGTTTAATTGGACATCCAGTTCTGGTGAGTTGCTCGTCCTACATATTTCTCTGTCTTTGAATAGAACTAGTGAATGCTTAGTCATCTGTGCTTCTTTTGAAACTTCTCGTCATTTCCCCAGCCAACTGGTGAAAATGGTGCAACTCGATCTCCTATAAGCATCGATTTACAGAAGGATGGTTCCTTGAGCAGCAAGTCAATTATTCTGCAAATTGACAATAAGTCTCAACAAGTTTCTGCAAGTTAGTACCTACTACCTGCTGTTGGTTGTATCATTACCCTTGATGTTAGTTTCTCTTCTATCTACTTGATTTATGCTATGGTGAAGGGCCACAGCTTAATACCTTGAATTTCCTGTTTTTAAGTTTCTTCATTTATGATGCTTCCCTGCTTGAGTCCTGCTTTTTATTTCTTTTGCATCATGGCCAACATTTAACTACATATGAGAAACAGACTTGCGATAGAATGTCACTTGTGCTTTCTTCTGATTGTTATTTTGCTTTAGGTGCTTTACGGCACTCCTTGCAGGACCGCCTGAGTAAGAGTGCGTCCGGGAAGAACCGAGATGAAATTTATCTAAAACTACGCACAAGCACAGGTTAGTGTATCTTGGGGTTCAGAGGATGAGATTTCTGTTCTCGTACTTAGTTATTTGGATCTGGACTACATTTTGTCTGTGTAATGGTCTGTTGCTGCCTTAGATAGTTTGAGCCTTTGGGGTATCTTGGATATCAGTCTGACACTTCTCCATGCGAGCTACTTTCATATTACATATAGATCCGAATAGAATCTACATGAAACTCAACACACTTTAAAATCTGCCGTCACTGTAGTACTATGGAAGCTAAGTTCTTACTTGATTAATGGTTCAGTACTGCATGTCAACTCTTGGTTTGCAATTGCACATGCCTTTTATTTTTCACTCACCAGAGTTTTGCTTAAAATTTCATAATGGATTCTTGTCCAAAGAATTATTTGTTTTCGGTGTTTGCAATTTGTGGTGAAATCTTTTGAGCAAAGCCACCTGACATGCTATGGATTTTTTGTTTCTGTTGGCTTACATTTGTTTTATCGTCATCTTTGTGCAGCTCCCCCCTTGAAACTAATTGATTTACCTGGGTTAGATCAACGGATCATGGACGATTCGATGGTACTTTCTGATGAACTTTTGCCATGACTCTAACTGATCTTTGATTTTATTGTTAGTTTCTCATTAGTTCCTTGACTGATTTACATTCTGTATATCTTTTGTTTGTTATCTCTGCTTTTTTTATTTGTTGGTATTCCTCATGACACGTCACTTAACTTGATATTGTCAAATTTTTTGCCTTTTCTTAGGTTAGTGATTATGCTGAGCGCAACGATGCGATATTGCTGGTTGTTGTTCCTGCTGCCCAAGCACCTGAAATATCTTCGTCTCGGGCTCTCAGGGTTGCTAAGGAGTGTGATGGAGAGAGTAATGGCCTAAGCTTGTTTGTTTGTATTTTTTTCTAGTGTTTGAGTTTGAGATTGCAATGACTCATTGGTGAGTGCTTTTTCTGTTTAGATATATGACTGTCTTGACATATTTTGTTTGGCAGGCACCAGAACCATTGGTGTGATTAGTAAAATCGATCAAGCTGCTTCTGACCAGAAAGCCCTTGCAGCGGTTCAAGCTCTTTTGCTAAATCAAGGGCCGCCTAAAACTGCTGACATCCAGTGGGTTGCCTTAATTGGTCAATCTGTTTCTATTGCTTCTGCACAGTCTGGGTCTGAGAACTCATTGGAGACTGCATGGAAGGCAGAGAGTGAGAGTCTGAAATCCATACTGACTGGAGCGCCCCAGAGTAAGCTCGGTAGAGTAGCTTTGGTGGATGCTCTGGCACAGCAGATCCGTAGACGTATGAAAGTTCGGATTCCTAACCTCCTATCAGGGTATTGATCATACCTTGACGTTGTTGATGTTGTTTATCCTGTTTAGATTTTCTGGGCAAGCAACATTCTGTTTAATTAATCTACTGAATTTAAGCAATTTAGCTGATTATTCTTTTACTTGCTAGTTCTAGTTTTGTTATGAATCTGTCAGGGAAAGTTTAGGTATTTATGCTTGAGAAGTATACTTTCCTGTGATGATGGGCTTTGCTAGTCCAACTGTTTCCACTAAGATGCCATAATCCCACTGTTTGCTGGTCTAGTTAGGTTAAAGGAACAACTTATTTGTCAGATGAAATCACTTCTTGATGTTCACAGTTTTTGTTTCGGTCCAGTTTACAAGGGAAATCCCAAATAGTTCAAGATGAGCTAGTAAGGCTTGGGGAGCAGATGGTCTCAAGTTCTGAGGGTACAAAAGCATTGGCTTTGGAACTTTGCCGTGAATTTGAGGATAAATTTCTTCAACATGTTACTACTGGTGAGGTATGTATCTAGGCCTGCATATTGTCATGGTAGAAGCTTGTATTAGATGTATCATTTTCTTCAGCATCATGGGACTCACTTAGATACAAAATGTTAAGAACGGGGAATTAAGTTGGCTGCTATTCATGCGCCAGTTTTTGAACTATCTGTTGCATATGCAGAATAATGTCTGAGAATTGTTGGAATCGAATGTGTCTCTGATTAATAGAATGACTTTGCAAATGATTGTCATACTGTCTGCAACTCGTGTGAACAAAAAGCAACAAATATAGTTTGCCAATAGAATGTCACCACTTGTTTAGAAAATGTGGTAGGGTTCAGTTACTTTGATTCATCCTGCAATTCTGTAACTGTCGTGTTGGTAATGTTGTGTGGATACGTAGAAGAATGATCATTTTTTTCTTCTGTAGGGTTCAGGCTGGAAGATTGTTGCCAGCTTTGAGGGTAATTTTCCAAATAGGATGAAACAGCTCCCTCTAGAAAGACATTTTGACATCAATAATGTTAAACGGGTAAAATTAGTATCTCTTACTTTTGGCTGTATTTTACTCTAGCCTTATGGACTTCTTCATGATCCTTTGTGTCTCTGTGTTATCTATCAGATTGTGTTGGAAGCAGATGGGTATCAGCCATATCTAATATCACCAGAAAAGGGGTTGAGATCACTAATAAAAGGTGTCCTGGAACTTGCTAAAGAACCAGCACGCCTTTGTGTTGATGAGGTGTGGAGATTTATTAGTTTCATAGGAATTTGTCTAAAATTGTCCCATTATAACTTTACCTATTGGAAACAGGTGCACCGTGTCCTGGTTGATATAGTCTCTGCATCCGCAAATTCTACTCCGGGTTTGGGGAGATATCCTCCTTTCAAAAGAGAGGTAAGATGATGGCCTTACTATTTACCTATTAATCAGTCATGACTTTGTATGAATGTTGTTTGATTATGAAGTCTCTAATCGCTTCCTTAACCTTGTCCCAGGTTATTGCCATTGCAACTTCTGCATTAGAAGGGTTCAAAGGTGAAGCAAAGAAGATGGTTGTCGCACTAGTTGATATGGAACGAGCATTTGTGCCTCCACAGCACT